CCTGCAAATTTTTATCACAGGAAATAGACAACTGTTAACAAATAAGTGATAGATCGCCTTTTCCTGAGTCTATATTATTTTCGTGGGCGTCCGGCCGTCCGGACCTGGCCCAGTGGTTAAGGGCGTCGGTTCTTGCATGAGTGGTCCGTGCTAGCAAGATCTCCTTGAGATTGCATTACATTATAACGGGCGACTTCAATTACTAAGTGGCTACTTTACTGAGCACAAAGTAAAGCTTTTTTCTAAACGGAATTCAGTATTAAATGTCAATGGAAAACAAAGAACGACTTACACTTCACAGACCGGTTCTAAGTTGTCTTCGCTTTCTGCCGCTTTTCGAGCAATTCGTCGAGGGAAGATTAACTTAGGAAGCACGATGGAGCCGGTATTCGTAGGAATCTGAAGTAAACCGAGCTAGATGCTTCGTGAAACTCCGGATTATGGTCTTCTGAGAGCCTGAGTGAAGGATGAAGATATCGCCGATAACAGGATTAGTGAAAGCGGAGGTTACTCGCACTTTCAAACTGATTTCTCGATTTATTTCGACAAGGCGTAACTCTGGGCAGAGACGGGTGATGGAAATGTCAAAACTTGGGAAGACGAGTAAAGTCCAGTCGAATTCCTCATATCGTTGGTCGGACGAACCGGTGTGCCATCTTTGTGGATCTTCGGTAGGCCATACAGCCGCCGTATATGCGTGCCGACGGGTAGGAGGCGCTCTGCGTCGTGTTCGTTTATGCATCCTTTCACCTAAAGTCTTTTCAAACAGTCACTTAGTCGTGGTTTAATCTCATCTGTACGATTCTTTTCCCTTTCCGTCTTTCTGAACTTTTCCTGATCCGACAGAGCTGACTGTATTTGTGTAGTACAGTCTACTTTGCCCATCAAAACTACGCCAGTTTCCTTATCTGACCTAATTATCAGAATGTCTTTGTTCTGCCGGAGTTGCTATAACTTCTCAATGTGTAACTTTGTCATCAAGCCCCGATATTTCTGACGGCTGTTTAGATATTGATAAGAGCGACTGGCTAACATGGACGAAGGATATTGTACACTATCTGTTGAAACTGGCTGAAGGTCATGTGTTTAATCCAAGAGGTTCTCGAATTGTGTTTCTAACTCTAGCTAGTTGGGCTTCTGGCGAGGGCAACAAAACGTATGACCAAACGATAAGGCTTCAATCGGTGTTTTATCGAGAGACATATTATTATAATATTTGAAGTCAAATTGCGGCCGAAATATACTAGTTTATTTTCGTCTTTTACCTGTCTGAATGAAATCTTATGGTGTCTAATCGAGGTTAGTATAATCCTATTCTATTCTGCCCTAGAAGTGTGCTTCTCTGAAACCAGACTGCCAGTACGCTCATAACTAGTAAGTTATAAGTATCAGCCCAATATTGCCACAATTCAATTGAATTGGGTTTCCTTCTTGGTTATAATCAAATTGAATGCGTTCAAAGTTTGCTAAAATAAATATATTATATTTCCTTTGCGAATTTTCGACAATCTCGGCGTCTTTTCGGATTTTATTGTCAGTTTTTTATTTTTTTCATTTTTACGCGCTCTGACGGCAGGATCTAGACAAGATTGTCGCTGAATTAATCGCTGAAGTAATATGATGCAGACAGTAATGATCTGCCTGAGCTGTCGGATTAACGATGAAATCTAGTTATCGCGAACTTTTTAACTTCTGCCGACGATCTGTCCTTTCAGACATGACATTACCAAATTCTAAACTACGACTTTCATAAAAATTCGTTGGTTGCGAAAGAATCATGAAGAAATCGGCCGACTCTCAAAAGAACATTTAGAAACAAAAAGTGCTTCGCGAAGGTATATGGATGGAAGAAGGGTAGCTTCTTTCTGAAGGCAGGACGAGACTGTAGATGCGGCTCAGCAAGCGAGATCCAGACGTCATTTTAGTGCATCTGCAGATGCTAGATAGTGGCAGACCCAGAATGTGAACGACAAATGGGACGAGACTCAGACGTTCCAGTGGGCTGAAGGATCCTGATAAGGATTAGCGGTTAGCGAAGCTGAAATGGTTTAGAGCGCACGCGTCAGTAGGTTCCCCCTTCACGTCTCTAGGAGGTTGGTTAGGGAGGGCATCTCACTTTCTGCAACACTCAATGCATGAGCCGAAAGAAATTGAAATTTCTGCTGAGGCATCCTAAACAGCGAAAACGCAAGCGAGGAGGAAAATGTGAACGGGTAAGTTAATTTGGCGGCGGCGTCCTAAATACACAATGCCTCCTCGTCAAACTCAGGTAGAAAGCTGATTTTTAAGGATGAGGAAAAAAAGTTTAATTGTGTCAGTGGTAAGATAAAAACGCGGTCTTTCCTTAAATTCATGCAAACTGATTAGCAGCTTATTCTGGAGAAATGTATACTTGAGAGCCAAGAGGTGAGATCGTCTAGTTTATGCATACTGACGGTAGAATTCACGTAGGAAACTTGGATCTTAATTTTGTTCAAATTTCGACGACTGTTTGTTTGACGTTTCGAATTAAAAAAGTCAAACAGGAGACTATCAATGTTGTAGTTTAGCTCTGAATTACCGAAATTGTAGCCGGTGGGGAAGTTGAATGGGACTTTATGAATAACATAGTTATAATGATCATATCTACAAGGCGTAGAAAATGCTAATGTATGAAAATTTATCTCTTGATGAAATCTAAGAATTAGGCTGTGCATGGAGGAATCTTTCGATAAGTTATTAATATCGATAGAGGAATTGACACCGACAGTGGTCGATGCAGGCGATTTATCGTCAAAAATTAACGATTGTCCAAAATCTCCGAGAAAAATTCCTACGTATACGGATACACCCTAACGGGGATGAGGTTAAGCAAGGTAAACAATTGTGATACGGTGTATTTCAGCCTGATGATAAAAGCCGAACGCAATGGTAAAAGCAAGCGATTTATGGATAAAAATGAAAAAAATACCAAAAATTTACTTCCTCAACTCCTCCATCCTTTTGAACTGCAGACCGATTCCTCTTCCCATTTTCTTCGCCATTCGCTTGCGCATTAGGCGCTTAGTCTTATTTTAAGCAGGTTCGACATCTGTCGACTGTGCGGATTTTTGTCATCCTGCGTAGTTTATTTCATTCTATTGAGGGGAATATGTGCGAGTCTTCAAATATCCTATTTGCGACGTAAGAATGGGACGCAGTGCACAGAGAAAATATGCGGGACAGAATAATTCAACTGGACTCGTAGCAGCATGACAATGTGGGCATGAGCCTCAAGGGTTAAACTCGATCTCGTATCACTTTCGTTCCTTTCAAAATGTGAATCTGTCAAGGTTTCTTTTGAGGCCTTCGATCAAAGGTTATGGAGTAACATATGCAGGGAGAGTTCTCCATATTTTAATCACTTTGACAGAGAATGAGAAATTCCACAAATCCGGTCTTGCCTACTGAACGCCAAGTTCTAATGAATGAGCTCGGAAGTGAGTTGGGGCAATGATTTAAAAAAATTCCCCAAAAACCAGGTTGCAATCCAGTGCCTTCACGATGCGAAATGCTTGTGAGGGATCCTACGTATTTGCCTACTACCCAAAGGGAAGTGGTTCGGGTTTGTTAGGTTAGGTGAATAGGGCAAGAAGCTTGGTTTCCTAGGTACTTTGGTGGCTCCCCATTAAACCCTTTCAAGTCTGTTTTGATCTTAATCCTCCCACGGTCTCCAGGCTTGTTTGTCATATTAGACACCTGGTTCCACAGCTGTTCCGGCGATGTTAGAGCAGAGGTCTTCATCGAAAGCCATAAATGCTCGCTCTATGGCGTGCAACATGGGCATTGTTTATTTGCCACTCTCGAAAAACAAACGCATGGTTCGCAGGAGTCTGCTGCCTGGTTTCCGAGGACTGTTTGGGCTTCCACCTCCTATGAAAAAAGTAACTTCTTATGATGGCGCATATGGCTGGGTTGTCCAGGCAAAGTGTGGTGCATTTAGCGACGTCGAACCACATGAAACAACAGTATGATCAATTCTTCAATTGATTTGGGCTTTTCAGTCGCCTATCTTCGTAAGCGGGGCTCCAGTAAAACTTCATATTTTCATGCCGTCAACAAACATTGCTGCTCTACCGTTCGGATCTCTCGCTAAACGCCCACATATGTTGGGAAGAAAGTGGATCCCACTGCTGAGTTACAGATAACACCACCCTAGACCGTAGCAGGACCTGGTTTCTCTTGGCCGATGCGCAAAACCCGGTGCGGACCCATAACGAAGTACCCTAAGTTACCACTTATCCCTATTCTTTCCTTACGATGTCTCTTCTATTCTTATACTAAGCAGTGTATTGCGTAGTTTGTGTCCCATTTCTAAGCGGTCTGTAAGAAAGAAACAAGGGTGTTTCCAGTGGCCTTCGTTTTTATTGTAATTTGATGCCTTTGCTTCCTAGTCTGAATCTTGGCCAAATGTGTTTAAATGTACTACACGTGGTATGTTTTGTGACCAAGAAAATAGGATAATTTAAGTTACTGGTTATATTTATAAAGGCAAGGAAAAACAAAGACTGGGCACTTTTACATCTGCGACGACGCTTGTGTTCTTTGACTTTCTGAGTGTCGTTGTGCATTAAAAGTGGTCTAAACGCTTACTTCTGGTGTACTTGTATTTTTGAATTGTGGCTAGTTATTGATATCTCTTTCCGTAAAATTAAATGAGAAGTCGACGACGTGTCAAATGACATAATTACCTACCTCGATAAGAAATTCCAGTAAAGCCTGCTGGCAGAAGTCTGATCGCCCATGTGAAAGCGGCCGAATTAAGCTAAACGTTCAAACGCTGTCACTAAAATTTTCACAATTTGCTGGTTGATGCATTAGCAGTTTATTGGCGACAAGTGTTTGTCTTTGAGGTTACTTAAACGTAAAGCCTATGTTTATACGCGTATAACACGTCAAGTGTTTGTTAAAAATTTTTTCTTGTAGAAGCACTTTTGTCATTATTATTTCTTTTCGTTTTCTTCTGATTCACAGCTGTAATAATGAAACGGAAAGAACTGTTGATTTTGATTGGCTCGCTACTTGGGGTGACGCTGGCCGTGACAATTGTCCTTGTAGTGCTTTACGTAATCGCTATTAACGTTGGCTATGCTGTAAGTCGCTTTTGAAATTTCGGGATTTTGCTTTCGGCAATGCGTAAACTTATTTATTGGTTAATGTCCATTCGCAATAATACGCTTTGCAATTTTCACCATTACTTAAAATATCAAGTTTTTTGCCTAGATGTGTCTATGGTCGCAGATTCGCCTAAAAGCTCAGAGAACATTTGACTACTCGGTCTATCTTCTGGATTCGAATGCATTATTTAGATTGCAGATGCTACTCTGTGCTAACTGTTTTTAGACCCTGTTTAGCTTTGGACGACCCAAAACTAACGCGAGTAATGGAGGTTATTAAACTCTCGACAATTTATATCGGAATAAACGTTTTTATGATTTGTTTAAGGAAGCAACATTGCACAGACCTCCATGAAATTAAATCAATTTTTCATAGTATGCTATCATGATCGACGCCGGATCAACATCTTCAAAACTTTCTGTTATGCGTTGGCGGGACTGGCCTTTTCGATCAAATGGATATACGGAAGAAGTTACACTGTTAAAAGTTGGTGTGTACACTGATTTTAACACTTTTTTATTCTATTTGAAAACTTATCAATGACTACTGGCCAATCATCCTTTGCTCTTAAATAATAATAATTAGTTGAATTGTATATGGAGGTGCAAGCTATATAATTTGGCACACAATTAATCTTATTAGGACTTTTTGATTTTTTCATTTCTGGGCAGAAGTAAGTGCAGAAAACACTTGCAAATGTTAACGTCAAAAGTTCGATAACCTCTTAAATTGTAGATCCGGGAATTTCATCTTCAAAGGACGCTCCACATGAGGCCTATAATACTCTCAAACCCTATTTGACAAAACTTTTGTCTGAACATATTCCAAAAGACAAACGCAAATCAACGATGTTGTACTTAGGAGCAACTGCTGGTATGCGGCTCGTAAAGTAAGTAGCCAAAATACTTTTGAAGCAATCGCCATTTAAAAAGACCCCGCTGTGCTAAAGTTCCTTACCTGTGTAGCATGAGCGGTGTGTTGGAAAATATATTTTTGTAGGCACTTTCTAAGCAAGATATATGCCGAAATATATGTGGCACATTTTTGCTTATGAGGTTTATATACAGAAAATACCAGCGATGGTGATGCTAACTCCTGTTTACTTCTTTTAGTTTGGAATCACCTCTGAAGGCAGACGCAATCATTGAGGATTTGCGAAGAGCTTTGCCAGACTTGGGGGTCACTGTTTACAATCCATATTCTGATATACGGATTATCAGTGGAAGCGACGAGGGAACCTACGCCTGGATGACAGTTAATTATTTGTTAAAGAAGCTTGGGGATGTAAGTTCGCAAATTCGATTTTCAAGTCGTTCAGTTTATGGCTTATTATTTTTGTATGTTTTTTGGCTGTTTGAATAAAATCATGAGTTCCCTTGATATTTGGCATTTAAGCAACATTTATCTGTTGTTTACACAAGTCAATCAATTTCTTCGATGAGCATTCTAAGAACTAGACGTAAATTTCGAGGCGGTCACGTCCGCAGTCTACACTATTGCCACTTTCGCTTATTTTTTCTTAAACTAAGTCAACAGTTTTGTTTAGAAATTTCACCCATAAAATTGGGAAGACTCAAACAAAACACTTAATTTTTGCAAACACAGTATCATTCTAAATCCCTCAAATTTGTTTGACTAACAACATGAACTTACAAAATTTCGTTATTCTTCGTAAAACGCGGGTCATTTGAGAGTAGTACAAATGAGTATACTGAAGTACTTGAACCACGGGAATGCTCTAAAAGCAACTTAACATGTAGATAAACTTGTGTTTTACAGAAAGATGGAAGGCGTCCCGAGCCGGCTGATCAAATGATGGGTGCTCTTGATCTAGGCGGTGCCAGTACGCAAATTACATTTGTCTCCGAAAACGCAAACTCAGCGTTACATACCGGAAGGCATCAGCTATTTGGAAACGTGTATAATGTGTACAGCTATAGCTATTTGTGCTATGGAAAAAGCGCTAGTCAGCAACGCATCTGGGCTGAAATAATAGGCCAACAAACCAGTGTACGTTTTGATTTATTTTTATTTGTATATATATGGTTTGTAACTCTTTATATTCGTTAATAAAAATGCCTGATCTCGAGCACTGCCTCCTTTAGAAAGCAAAGATTTGTATCATAAATAATATGCTAACAATAAATTGTAGTGCCGTTTACATTCCTCCGCGTGTAAGAGTATATCATATAGCAAACAATACCGCGACAAGAATTATTTGGACATAGAAACGGCAAAGGGGATGTTATTCTCAGGCGGTTGTTTAGTAATACTATAGGACGGATGCTGTTGTTTTCATTTTAAGAATAGTACGGTTCAGAAAGATCTCTTTGCTGAACTTTAAAATCATATCTGACCATTTTACGTAATTGAGTTAATCCTACTCAGGAAATTGAAAAATGCTAAACGACTTTTACGCAAAGTAGGCAGCGCCCAGTGGCCAAGCTGTCAGTTTTATCAAAAGTAGTTTACTCTAAATTTTTATAGCATATCGAATACCACTTCCACAGGTCTTAATAAATGGACAATAATTTTGTAAACGATCAAGATATAGAAGGAATGTATTTTTGGAAACTAAATTATTTTAAACAAAACCTTTAAAATAGTGTTTTCCTATTGTAAATTAATTAAAATACTTGGTGGAGTAAGTTTAAGTCTACGAAAGGAACTAACTTGTCCTACACAACGTTGTATGTTTCAGACGTATACTAAAGTATCTCTGATGCTTTCATTTCAGAAGAGAATAAACAACCCGTGTTTGCTGAAGAATTATGAGCTGACGGTGAAAAAGTCAAAACTTTTTACTGAACCTTGCGTAATTTCAAAGTTTGCAGTGGAAATTTTTGGAAATGAAATAATTCCAGACCCGGTAAGTTGGGTGTAGTCGTCTTCACAGTATTGCACTATTCGTAGTTTTCAAATGCAAATGACGATTGTGAGGAATAGTTCTACAGCTTGGAGGGATGTCTTACGTTTGGCATGTTAGGAGGTTCCGTATGAGTATTTAAGATGCAAACATCTTCCAGATTTTTATGCAAAATGTCTAAAGCCACATGACAGATATTTGCGTTGACTGTTAGAACTATCACTCATGTTAAAATATTAGAATTTAATTCGACGCACATCCTGCTAAATGTTAGTCTAACCAAGTTCTATTATATGAGGAAGTGCGTACTTTTACGAAGGTATTAATACGCATTTTGACCACGCGATTTTTAATAATCAAGGCTCTTGACGAAGAAATAACTTTTGTTGGGACGGGTGAACCTATGCAGTGTCGGACAATTGTTCAACGCCTATTCCGATCTACGAACTGTACGACAGCACCTTGCTCGTTCAATGGTGTTTATCAGCCTCCACCGAAGGGCAACTTTTTGGTATGCTTTAATGTCAATTGTACGGGCTTTGATTATAATGGGGAGCCATCGTATAATAGTTTTTATTACAGAACTCCCTTTCTACTCAACATAATCCATTTAATTTACGTACCAGCGTTGACGGTCAGCTGCTGGCCTTACCTCACACATATATGATCCAAAATATAAAACAGAATTTAAGGTAATTGATTATGGCAAATGTCGCAAGACTCAAACGTTTGCAAACTAAATATATATAATTCATTTGTATATAAGTTTACAAAGTTCTACTCAGCCGTCTGCCGGACAAAAGATATTTAAAGCTTTTTGTTAGACGTAGTATGAGGGAAACGGTTGCAGGCAATTGACCGTTTATGTTCTTGGAATTCAGGTTATATATGAAGTACAGATTAAAGCAAATGGAGAAAACTTCATCTGTAAGACGTAACGACCGTCCATTTCTCACTTTCTTTTTCAGGCTTTTGCTGGATTCTACTATGTCATCAATTTTCTATTTCCTTCGGGCGGGAAAGGACTTACACGAGACGAAGTGAAGATAAAAGTTGACGAATTCTGCACAATGGATTGGAATACGGTAAGGTAACTTTAAAGACTTAATGGACAGCCAGATGTAATAAGTGAAATGTTGATGTTGAAATGCAATTAGACACACCGAACAACGTAATTCGGGGAAGAGTGCTGACTCTCTGGGAGCCTCTAGTTATCCATTAATATACTCCACGCACAATGCTTCTATAGACCTGCAAGTTCATCTTACTGGGTATAACGTCATGAAGTCGGACTGTTTGGAAGCTGGTTTAGTACGCAATCACATGTATACTTAATGAAGTGAAATAAGCATTTGGCGGTAATGGTCCTACCCTATATATTTCAAAAAGTTTTTACTCACTGTTTGCCAGTTAATGTCTGAGCAGTACATCCCCATCTTAAGCCCACTTATTTTTGGAGGAGCGGGTTCTCTTATCTAGCAGTTTATGAATGTTTTCAGTGTACTGCTCTGCGTATATCGAGGTGTTTCTGAAAATGGTTTTTAACTATTTCCCGGGAATTGAACTTGTGACCTTGTGCGTGTTTGTGTGGTCTGCGTAACCATCTGTTACCTTATCGTTAGGAATCGGCCAAACATCCCGTAGACCAACATGCAAACGTTGCTGGATATTGTCTGGATGGAATATACATTGACAACCTCCTTGATGGGTACGGCTTCAAGACCAATGAACTTTGGCAGAAAATAGAATTTGTGTCAAAGGTAAGTTTCCAATTCACTGAATGGTTAATTTTGCCAAAAACGTTTATATATTCATACGTTCACAAATATAGCAAGGCAAGGTCTACCCTCTTTTCGTCGCCTTGCCTGGTGTCAAATTAACAAGATGTTTACGGATTACGGACTGAGCAAGCAGTATATGAATGTCCTTCAAAACGGAGCCTTGGTTGTATGCGCAATAAGGGGTTGTGCTGGTCGCTTTAAAGTTTAAGTTGGGGGACACCGCAGAGCAGAGGGAACTAAGACTGTGGCAACCTCATCCATGTTAGCTTCAGGCATTCGTATACCTATAAAATCCTCGTCATCGTTTTGAGGCTTGTGAGGCTTGGTGGACCGTTTGCGGACAAAGCTATTTTGCCTTCTATGGCCAGTCAAATCAGTAAGCGATCATTTCGTCATGACGAGGCACTTGGTCTGACAGTTGTACCATCGTAAACGACGACTTCCGCCAGTGATCCACGAAGTGTGCACAGAAGTGGCTTCAACGAGAACTTTCTTACAGAGAGGCAGGGACGCGAGGTATCTGCATCATTCTCTCCTCACGTACACACACCGTGCTACAGCGGCCAGACAAGTTCAGGACGACGGGAGATGTGCATCGGCGTTGGCAGCGCGAAACAGTTGTTCTACGCGTACCGCACACGATTTCATCCCTAGCTCCAAATGTTGCGGACTTCGTTCAAGGGCAGGTTCTCGAAGCTTGTATAAGTGGGAGTGCCATAGCAGCCACATTTGCAAGGGGCCATTGCAGTCTGACTCCCTGTTTCAAGAAGGACTAAGTCACCTCACCAGTTAGCAACATTTCAAGCATCTACAAGTGGCACTTTAGAGTGATTATTCAGAGCAAAATATCGTGTCGCAATGAGAACGATTTCATTTCAATTGTTCGACCCACCTTCTCCTCCCCTTTCATGCACCGATGGACTCTTCGAGCCTGTCAGACAACCAATGCTCAGGCCGACCGCGATGGCCGACTTGACGTAAAGGAGGCCGTCTACATATGCAGATTTTCTACTTCACGGGGCTAACATTCATCTAGTTATACGCTCTTCACAAATGTGATACGTGCATCATTCCTCACAAAACGTATCGCACTCACAGCGACGTTGACGAATTGCATCGTATGACCGTTGCATGAGGGATGTTGTTTTGACTGCTAGTTTGCCATGAATTTTGACTTGCTGTTTAGCCATGGGTTCTCGTAAGGGCGCATGTGACCGAATAGGCGCATGTTGTGCAAATGCTCCTGAACAGTGCTGGCAAGAAAGGTATGCCTAATAAATGTATGCCGGAGTAGGGGTTATTCGTGCGCATCGTGATGGATTTGTAGATAACCTACCAGGACGATCCGTGAATAAAAAATGTCTTTGCAAACGACACAATTCGCAGCCATGTCTTCATTGCCGGCAGGGGTAGTAATGATGGTGGTGGAGGGGGACGTTTAGAGCATAGTGAGTAGCGTGTCGAACGTGGTGAAGACGGTTGCAGTGGTGTCTCGTGATGTGAGGGATGGATTGGTAGCGCCAGCACTGCACAGATTTTAGGAATGCCCAACGAGGCCACTCCGTGCACCTGAATGTCCACTGATGACGTAGGCGCGATTCAAAGATTGGCTTCCGGCGTCACTAGGTTACTGTACTTGATAATTGCAAAATCTGATATTTACTTTGGTCGCCTTTGTGCCGTTGACTTCGAAGGTAGTTGCTTCAGAGTTTACGACCGTGCATCAGGCATGTCGATTCTGCGAGAGGTCTTCTCAGGTCTCAGGATCGGTTTGTAGGCGAATGGAAGGGATTTCAGGGTGTCCGTGTAGCATGTCTTGAGCGGGCTCCCGTCGTCCATACTCGGACGTGTCCGTGCCGACGCAAATGTATCTACTTCAACATCACGTAGGTACTGAGGACGCCAGTTATTTCTTGTATCTCGTCGTCTGGGACAGTTTCCCGCTACTTCAACTTTAGCATTCTCTGAAAGCAACCGAGATGAAAGTAATTTGGTTTCCATACCCGTCTTTCTTGCGCAATCGCGGCTACCGATCCGTACAGCAGTGCTGTCAGGACAACAGCCCTCTACATCTCCAGCTTTGTGGTTGGGGGAATGCTCTGGCCGAAGGCTCAACTGGCTTCGCATATCCATCTCGCAATTTGACTAACGGTCTCGATGCTTTTTGGAGTCGTACCGCCCGGGTTCGCCGGTTAACATTTGTCCCTGATTCGTTGTATTCAACAGTGGGCGTCCGTTGGTGCATATACACTAGCTACACTGTGTTCAGTCCGAATTCGGAACAAATAGAGTTGAAGAGATTAGGATTCCGCTGCACGTCCGCTTCCGTCGTTGTATTTAGTATGCAGTCATAATCGAACAAGAGGTGTTGGACACTGACCTTGAAGGGTCTCGAAGTTGCCCGTGTGCGTCGGATGTTGAGCTGTTGTTCGTCAGTCCGGTAGTCGGCGTTGATTCCCAGATGCTAATCACGGTAGGCGTCCATCGATATGGTGAAAATATTGAGGCTGAAGAGGGTTGGAGCGAGTAAGCAGTTCGGCTTCATCCCATTTGTCACCGCTTAACCCTTCAAGCCTGACCTGTTATCCGTTACGCACGCCATTAGTCCGTCATGCTACCACCATACATTTGTGTAACTCGTTCCGGTAAGGCACGGGAATAGGAGCCCCCTCTCATCCCAGGGGTTTTACGGCGTTTTTCAAGGGATTAGGTCTAGTGTTGAGGCCAGGGTTAGGATTAAGAGTGGGGCTGCATTTGAAGTAGGGTTAGGGTTAAGGACAGAGTTGAATTTAGGGCTGGGTCATGGTTAAGTTTTGAATTAAGGTCAGGTTTAGGGTTAGGACAAGGGCAACCTTTACCCTTTCTGTCATTTTGGGAATAGCCACCCGTATTACAGTGGTGTTCTTATTCCCTCGTTTTACACTGGCATCGGACATCCGAATATAAACATGATTTACCAATGTCTGCCGCAGGTTTTTTTGTTAAGGGCACTAGCTTAGTCTATAGAATCAGCCTAGGGGCTGGAATTTGCGTTTTACTTTTGAGAGGGTTTTTTCTGTTTGTTCGTATTCAGGCGATTGGGTAAGACTCGATGCGGAGCCTGCCTGTAATGTTAAGAAGGGAGATGCTCCTGTGTCACCACAGAGTTGCCGATTCGCCTCGTGTGCGATGGTTGCATCCTGGAAGTCTTGACGGATGTCATTGTAGTCGCATTCCAGGGAAACTTAAAGGGATTCCGTCGGTGAGTTCATGATGATCGTATTTTTAAATTTAGACTGGGCTTATGCCGGTGCCTTGGGTGGCGGGGAGGGGGTGACCGCTAGGCGATTTTTAGACTGCTTTGATTGTTTCCTGAGGGAAGACGGGCGAATAAGGTCGCTGTCAGTGTCCGCCCAAGGAAGTCGGTTTGTGGCCTCTTCTCTGAATTAGGACGGGTGGTTGAGGATGTCACTGAAGAAAACTTTTATATTTTTGAGCATATCTTTAAGACGTCGCCCTTCACTTCAGTATCAGCAACGCCGTCTTGCCTTGATATTGGCTCAGTCCCCTCGGTTTTGACGGCTGAAGACTGTTTTGATGACCGCAAAAAAGCCCTCCATCTCACCGCGACGGACATATCAACGAAGTTCTTTTGTCGTGAAAGTTCATTGAAAACACACTGCATGCTTTTTCGCCATTGTTATCGAAACAGTCTTAATGTCACCAATGTGCGCTAACAAAAGTCTAAGAGGCATCTTAGCAGGCTCCTTTATTGGTTATCAACGGTAGTATTTATCGAGTCGTCACTATCAACAATGAGAAGTTCCCCAAATCGAAATTCGGGCGGCTAAAGTCACTGCACCAAACTTAACTGCTGCAGGGTGTGCAAGCAGTTCAGACTTTGAGCCCAAAATCATCCCTTCATGCCATGATGCAGCCGTTAATGTTGTTAATCACGACGTGAAGTGCGTGCGTGCGCCTAAGCCGTGTCCGTTTGCAGCCAATCATTGGCGAAGGGCATTTCAATCGGCTTCAGGTTATCGCCACGCCAGGGCACAGGAATTCAATTAACGAAGGGCGATAGCACAATCAAAAGCGATGCCGCTAAGCGGCCGAGCACGCGGCTACGGGAAAAGACTGGCTCAGTATCCCTAGGAGAGACCGAAGTAGGTGAGAATCGACGTCAGAGGATTCGCTCCTGTCTAAAAAACTTTATCATTTAGACGACCGCTGCGGGTGCTGTATACGGGAGGCATAGATGATGAGACTTGAATGCGTTCAGCTATTGGGGACATAGCGCAAGAGGCTGGGGTTGCATTCGGAAGCAGAGAACATGGAGGACAGTGATCAGGGTGGGTGGAGGAACATGGAGTTGGGGGCCATTACGTTTTCTTCCAGAACTTCCGTTTATCCCAGTTTGCTAGTTATGCAATTCTTATACTACAGTCGAAATTCAGCCCTATCTTGTGATACAGTGTTTAACACACCCAGGCTTTTCTTACCTTAGCGACATCTGCAAAGTTGTCACTGCAACATCGTGTTTGAAGCAAAAATGCGGTGGTATGCACAGTGGTAGGAACCACATAATCTTCTAGTGAGTGACGCACAGCGTTGTTCACGACACCAGACGAGGACGTACTCTAACATTTTGCAGTAACGCGAGGCATGTCCTACAGATCTTCGTTTGATTTGTTCTTAACTTCCTCAGAGCCTGTCATTCGAGGAGCGCAGGCACAAGCGATAGTGGTCACTTTGTTCGCAAGAAGCGCCAGCCTCATGTTCATAAAGATAGATGTGGTTGTTGTGTTGTGCTGCATTTTGACCACCTGTTTTTGCCCATGATCCACCATTAGCATGCCTACTGGGTGTTGTGTTATAATGTTGGGGCACAATTACTGGCCGAGTTCTCCTCAAACTGGTAGACAGTGCAACCACCGTCCAACCCGATTGGCGAACCTGTACTTGTCGAACCACGAGCAGCATGTGTCTTGCCTATGGTACTCCATACGTCCCTCTGAAAATATACATACGTATTTCTGCATAAGTTTGCTGGCTTAAATACCTCGGCTAAATTTGCTTGTGTAATCATGTGTGGGCGGTTACCGAATGGCGGAGGCTTAATTCAGCTAAGCTGTGGATGAGAGTTGCGCAAAATTTGGTGTAGGAGGTGGCTACATTTTGCTGTTTGGCGTCCAGTTAAACTGTCAGCTCACCAAAGTGACAGTCCCTCCATGGAAAGCATTTTATGGGAACTCATAGCCTTCGATGAATGTTTCTTCTGAAAGCGTACTCAGTTTGAATTAGATGTCTCTTCAATTTTTGTATACATTCGATGATCGTTCATCCAGGAACCTAGAGCTTGCAAGTGAACAAAATCTTTCCTTAGTTCTTAGGAAATCCGAAACCGAAGCGACTTTTGGGAATGCAAACACACTTTTTCGGAGTAGATACGGGATAACGATTTTCCACCCATGCTCCATTGATGGCTTCCGCAATCAATATATGAAAAATGTAACTCCGGAATTAGTTGATTTCTATAATTTTTAAAGTTGAAATTAGGGGAATTTGTCGAGAGTAAGTTGTCCCTTCCGTTTCAATGAATGTGGCCCATTGTTGAGATAACGAGATACTTGAATGAAAAAGGGAATTTGAAAAGAAATTAAAAGTTCTCACAGAAATGACAATTTGTTGATGTCACTAATATGAAAGAGTGGGATTAAGTAAAGTTTAAAGGTTGGGCCTCCTCAAAAGTAGGTTTCAGGGCTTGACGACCTGAACTGTATTTTATTGGCTCACAGACGTAATTCTGGTGGAACATAGGCAGCTTCTACCATTTATCTTGTTTGCGCAGACCTTATGGTCTGCTATATGAAATAAAAAAACTTAATTTATTGTCTTTTCACAAGTTTAAGCTTCCGAACTCGCTAATTTTCCCTCAGCAAAGAGTGCCTTTTACATCTAAGTACAAAAGGGATCATAAAAGTTCTTCCATTTTTTCGACAAAACTCTAGTAGACTGATAACTGGATAAGCGCGGGTCAAAGGGAAAATACTATAGTTTAGGGCACACAGGCTGCCAAGTGTACCCATGATAATTGAATTAGTTAAACGCGCAACACAGGGTGTGGGGGAGGGCGTTCGTTCGATCTCGCTTATTTTTTAGTTATTTCAATCTGGTTTTTGTATCTATGCGTGAGGTTTAGAGAAGGATTTAGCATTTCATTGATATTCGGGCAATTTAATAAACTCTTTTTGAGAGATACTGCAATCATACGATCTTCTAAAAAGAAAAATTTAACACTAAGTAGTCAGGATCATTTGGATGCTACCCTGTGCCTTCGTTAATCAATCATCAATAAAGCACTATAAGGCTCGAAACCTTGTTTGTCTTCCGTTGGATAGTCAATTTGAATCTTCTTCTACAACGTTTCTCTTTTAGTCATTGAGTTTTTTTTTCTTATCGCTCTAGGTGGCAGGTGCTTCTGTAAGCTGGGCCCTTGGGTACGTAATTGATGCTTCCGGAAAAGTCGAGAGCCTTGCCCCAAAGATAGATCTTGGTCAACCGGCCTTCGTTGGTAGCGTGACGGTTCTCAGTATCGTTCTTGTGGCTCTCCTGGGAATTCTCATTTACGTCCTTTTAAATCGATGACACTGAATTTTCATTATTTCCAAAACCAAGAGCTTTCGTGGAGCACTGCAGGATCCTCAAGACACTTAATCACTACTTATCGTCTTATCCTTTGTGTATTAATGAATTTTTAATTAAATGGTGATGGGAGATAAATCCACGTACTGTTTTTTGAGTTTTCAAAGTCATGGTACTTGTGCCATGACCACGTAGTGTTTTTAAAGCAATAAAAATATACTAAAATGAGAAAAGGGGCGACCACTAGAAAAAGCTCCACGAGTCTAAATTAGGGGGCAATTCATGAAAACATTTGAATAACTTTGCTTGTTAGCAACTAATGTTGTGCAGATATGCTTGACAAAATCTTAATTGCTAAGTAACATAAATTGCGTAGATAACATAAACAGAACAGCCGACATAACATGGTGTAAATTGCTTTAATCCTATAGGTCGCAGATGATCTATGACCGAAATATCTTCTTGTGTGAACAAAATCCTGTCACATCTCACCTGACATCCATCAAATACAAATATACCCAAAATGGATTAGCATTCGGGCATTTTTCACGCGTGAGCTGAATGTCCGATTGTCAGAAGCGGCTACTTTTGCCGGCCAGCGTTATTACCTATGTGTCCGCGAAGCCAACTGCAGTGTCTGTCCTGAGGGCGTGGTCAGCGACTTGGTACAATGGCATACTTCTCTGCACCAGCAGTCTGTGAATGTGAACTTCCTACTTCGACTTTCTGTCAGCCTGTTCTCTCTAACCGTAAGACCAAACTTATTCCGAATCAGATAACTATTTTGCACACCGGAGCTTCTGATTGATATACAACAAATTAGCCAATATCTTTGGCAGTATGTTTTCTGACGTCATGGCCGTTGTCGATATACGGAAGAGAGTGCTAGATCTTTGGTGGGTCCATTATTTGAAAATCTGTTGGTCGGTATGAAGGAAAGTTTGTCGGTAGTCATTCTTTATCGTTTCCTTGTCCGGATGTCGACCTTTCTGTACTTGTTCACCCGGAGCACTCTAGGGCCTCCTGACCCTTTGGAGGAAAATTCGATCATCGGCCTGTGCAATTTTGCCGGCGTTCCTATTTATTTGAGTGCGGAAGTCGCAGTTCAGGTTTTACGTAACAAAAGACTTCAGGATGATCAGTCGTCGTCCAATCCCACTCACCATAGCGAACGTAGTCAGGTTAAGTGCTTTATAAAATTTCTGTATCCTGACCGTTTTCCACTATTACGAATGCATCGTCACCATATTGTGTTCGTACTAGTCGAGGGCAAACTATACCAACTCTCGTTGCACCAACTTTACTATTAGGTTGGCAGTACGGCATCAAATACGAGGTCCTTTGATCTATTCATGTACTGCGCCAGCGGACAAGGAAGGTTTAGTTTCGGAAGGCGAATGAATTCATGGGATGCCGAATCACGGGGCTTTCCGTTTCCCAAGGTGTTTGCCATGGACCCGCAGATCGCATCGCCGGGGTAAACATTAAGAACGATGTTAAGCTAAGAATAGTACAAGTTCGTCAAGTTGGGGGCCTTGTTGCCGAAGGTCCGTAAGGAAGCACGAGGCCGTATTTCTCTGTCATTTCTGTGAAATCTTAACTTTCAGCACATCCAACTAGATCGGCTGTATGCAGGTCTGCCATGCACCTTCTCTGTGAAAATGACGTTGTTTAACACAATTTATTTGGGAGACCCATTTAACAGACTGCGCATTGATTGGGTCTGTGAGGTGGAAGTAGAAATTTACTTTTTTCTTCAGAAGAGATGGCCTTTACGTTGCCAGTGTGATCCCACAGTTAACTGGCATTGTCTTCTTGTTCCCGCAGTGCCCGCAATCTGTATTCTCAGTTTACTTATCCGTTAATGATTGTTACAAGTTTTCGTTTAGGGATCCCAAGATAAAACAGCACTACCCTGATGGCACATTAGTCAGGTTGCAGAGTAGATAGCTTGATTGCCTGCCTACTTTACGACTGAATTAAGGGAATCCGCGTCTTTTGCTTTATCGGTTGGCAGTACTCATAACGTCGTGCCATTCGAAACCAGTTTGTGTAACCTGCTAATACCGGCCGATAATTACGCACATTTTTTACTATATCCTACTGCACAGGGAATCACCACGTCTCTACAATATTATTTTACTAACTTGGATTTTAAGGAGGGGAGAACAACAGCGCGCAAAGGTGTTAGTCGATGTTTGCTGTCCATGTACAACAATTTTCAGCAGTTAAATGAAGGATACACAGGTCAGAAGGTAACTACCAGGATGAAGTGGAATTTTGTGGTATATTTGTCGTTCATTCTGTGTGCTGGTGGCGTTCGGTTGACTGTCCACAAGCCATGCAGGCTATAGTGCGCCAACAATTCAGGGAACATAAGTTAAAGAGACAACCTTGTCTTTCAAGCAGCCTTTTTGACTACCACAGATCTTGCGTCCGGAGAAAAGCTCCGTGAACCCGAGAAGCCCCACCAGGAGGCATACTTTTTATCAAAACCTGACGAACGACAGTGCACTATCTACCGGGACTAAAACGCTTAATTGGGCCACAGGACATTTTACATCTCACATATTTCCCCACGATTGTGATTGCTTCCTGTGCTTGCACAACCCTTGAAGACCACCAGGGTTATTTTTGTTAGAAAGAACCTTAGGTTATAATTATAACGTAATTTGCACTTACCTCGTCATATTTATTCGCAGACTTCCCCCGCATTAATTGTTTTAATCCATTGCTTCCATTTTTCGCACACATGCACACATCACTTAAAGCCAAACATGAAATTGAGTATCAAGTTAGGCATTGTCTAACACTTTTCTCCACTCGTCCAAAGTAAACTATGCAGCTGAATCAAACAAACTCAAACAGTTTTGGGCATGCCTTCACTCCTTTCGTGATTTGAGTGGTTCTTCAGTTTAAAGGTTTCCCTAATTATAAATTGTGTCTCATGATGCCTTCGAAATTGAACATTTTGAAAGCGCCGAAAGCATGGACTGAATGGCACCTATTACCATTCATTCTGAGATACTAGCTGGCCTTACTTGAAACATCATCTTTTCTGAATAGCAGTTAACTGAGGATTGCATCCCATGTTTAAGTAGAATTTAAACTTAAATTATGCCGCTGGATGCAGTTGGTTACAGACACTATGGAGGCTGCCAGCAGTGCTCTTAAGGGTGAGGGGAATTGACAGAATGCAATGCATATTTTACATAAAAACATATGTGTATGAAGGCTGCTGGAACTTTTGGAATAGCCTTTTCTCAGGACATATTAGTTATATATTATTAGACACGCGATTGCCCCTTTTGCAGTTGCAGGAAATACTGAAGAAGGAAGGTCGACCGAAGTCGTTTGTCGGGAAGTAACACTTCGCTAACTTGAGATAGTTAGAAAATCTTAGCAGACACCCCAAGCCTTATATTAGTTTATTTTTCCTATGAAGGTTGTACAAACTGTTCTGATGTCCTACGGCTCCCGGACCGGTGTCAATTGGCAACGGTTAAGCAGAGAATAAGTATTCCCCGTATTACAGGTTGCACTACGTTAACTTCCAGGGGATAGTGGTTGGATTAGGGCCACAGCTAGGAAGTGAGAATTGGCATCCTTCAGGAATTTAGCGCAAGGCTACATGTAATGCGAGGTACTTATTGCCGTATCCTATCGTAGTAACCTATTGAGTACAGCATAACTCAGTTAAAATTGAAGAATACCCGTTTCAGCTTGTAATCCATCCATATCCTGCGCAAGTTCGGGCAACATTCAGTTCGGTCCATCCATGCAGCCTCTGCGTGAACCCATTCAGGGAAGCCATATTTTCAGCCGAAAATTGAATATGTGTACGACGGATTACAGCTAGAGCGAGACCTTAGTCTCTATTCTGCCAAAAGTCATTAGTCAGCCCTTGTCATCCTCCATATGCAGCATATGTACGTGGCGCTATTTTGCTAGTCCTGTTAAAAATGCAGCAAAACAAATATATACTATTTTTCGGGTAGTCTTCTATAAACACTAAGCGTTCTTAGTATATAGACTTTGGGTTTCGTAAAGGGCTCAATCGATACTGTGGTCCACCTTGATTTTCCATCTTAATTGATAGGTGTTCATAATTGATGTAAAGCCATGTATTGTATGCGTCCTGATGTAATCAATGACTACAAACGAAAGAACCTCATTATTAACGTCGAGGTTTGCTGAAATCAGTTAACTCGCTATATTCAACGACTGCTTGCCACAATCCGGACCTTAGCATATAAAGACCGCAAGATGGTGCACGTGGATATTTTCGTAAAAATCTATATACACGGATTAATTTAAAAAGGTTTTTTAAACACTGACAAGCAGCAATTTCTTCGACAGCGTATGGTTTATATAGGGGGTTACTCACTTCGGAGAGAAAGTATGCTAAAAGAAAATAACTGGGGATATATATTTTTATGTGCCAGCGAAGGAAATATAAAAGCCTCGCTGTGGCATTTGCGTAAGGGCGGTCAGCATGCTTTAGGGTAGTTATCGGAGCAAAAATACGGTTATGCAACACTTTGTTGACAGTGACTGCAAAGGGGTATTAAATTCATTTGCTTTTATCATTAATTGGCAAAAATAGTGCCACCTTTTGATTTGTGACAGTATAGGAGATCCGCATTTGTGATACTCCGAAATTCCTAGATGTTAAGCTCTTTTACTCAGCACAAATGTTCCGTGGAGTAAGGGACTTCGGTCATAAACCATGCCCTTGCCATTTATTCGTTTGTTAAGGAAGCAGAGTTACTGAGTGTACCTCCGTTTCGCGTGAGGGGAAGTCGCTCTTCAACTTCGTGTGTGATTCCAATAAAATCTTATTTAAAACTGAACGATGTCCTGGTTATAAAGTTCGTCGTTCTTGGAAGTTAATGAGACTGTAAGGTGCGCTATCTAAGTTACGATCCTTGTTTGGTTCAGTTAAATCATAAGTTACATCTTTCGTCCGTTTGCAGTAGACGGTAAAAAAATGACAAATACAT